GGTTTTGCAGAACATATCTTCGAAAAAGGCCGGGTATTTGGAGTGGAAATTGGTTTTGCAGAACATCTCCTAGAAAAAGGCCGAATCGGTATTTGGAGTAGACATTGGTCCATGTCAATCTTTACCTGCGCATCATCCTATTGACTACAGTGTCTCATGATGAAACATGACGGAAAGCTCAGCTCCATCTTGGGTCTGCGTCGTTCCATCGCACTGAGCAACGCTTTGGATGCTAAAAGGCCACGGGAAGTTACAGCAGCCCAGCATTCGCTGTCTCTTGCGCTTGGCTGCTGTCTCCGCCAAGTTCTGGATCACCCCAGGCCACGACAGCCCCAGATTCAAGAATGGCAGCAAAAGCACCCTCGCGAGTTGCTTGGATGTGCTGGACGTTCCTTAGCTGCTCTTGCGCGTGGCTGCTGTCTCCGCCAAGTTCTGGATCGCCCCAGGTCACAACAGCCCCAGATTCAAGAATGGCTGCAAAAGCATACTCAGTTGCTTGGATGTGCTGGACGTTCCTCAGCTGCTCTTGCACCAGGCTGCTGTCCCCTCCGTATGCTCGATGACCCCAGGTCACAACAGCCCCAGATTCAAGAATGGCAGCAAAAGCACCACGAGTTGCTTGGATGTGCTGAAGGTTCCTCAGCTGCTCTTGCACCTGGCTGCTGTCCCCTCCGTATGCTCGATGACCCCAGGTCACAACAGCCCCAGATTCAAGAATGGCAGCAAAAGCACCCTCGCGAGTTGCTTGGATGTGCTGGACGTTCCTTAGCTGCTCTTGCGCGTGGCTGCTGTCTCCGCCAAGTTCTGGATCGCCCCAGGTCACAACAGCCCCAGATTCAAGAATGGCTGCAAAAGCACCCTCGCGAGTTGCTTGGATGTGCTGGACGTTCCTTAGCTGCTCTTGCGCGTGGCTGCTGTCTCCGCCAAGTTCTGGATCGCCCCAGGTCACAACAGCCCCAGATTCAAGAATGGCTGCAAAAGCATACTCAGTTGCTTGGATGTGCTGGACGTTCCTCAGCTGCTCTTGCACCAGGCTGCTGTCCCCTCCGTATGCTCGATGACCCCAGGTCACAACAGCCCCAGATTCAAGAATGGCAGCAAAAGCACCACGAGTTGCTTGGATGTGCTGAAGGTTCCTCAGCTGCTCTTGCACCTGGCTGCTGTCTCCGCCGAATTCTGGATATCCCCAGGACACCACAGCCCCAGATTCAAGAATGGCAGCAAAAGCATACTCAGTTGCTTGGATGTGCTGGGCGTTCCTCAGCTGTTCTTGCACCTGGCTGCTGTCTCCGCCGTACTCTGGATCACCCCAGGCTACAACAGCGCCAGATTCAAGAATGGCAGCAAAAGCACTGGCAGTTGCTTGGATGTGCTGAACTTTCCTCACCTGCTCTTGCACCTGGCTGCTGTCCCCGCCGTACTCTGGATCACCCCAGGCTACAACCTCGCCCCCCTGGCCATGCCAAGCAAACGCCTTCCTTGTGGAAGCCAGTTTGCCAAGGTTCACAACCACATCCACCACATCCCCATCTCGCAAGCCAGCCTCACTCAGCGTGCCCGTCAAATCGAGCTGCTGGCCTTTCGCAATAAGCTTCAAGCGGCGCCGGAAATGCTGCTGTGCTGCAGCCTTCAGCTCGCTCATGGGCGTCTCTGGTGAGACTTCTATGGAGCAACCAACTCCACTGGGCAAGTGAACATCCACCTTCATGGCGCCGGAAGCTTCTTTTGCCATTGAACTTGAACCGGCAAACCTGTGAATCCGAAAACCGAGGTCAAACTATTCGGTACGCTTTTCATGGGACTCAACTATAGCAGGCTTCGAATCCTCTGAAAGCTCTTGAGCCCCACCCGGCTGAGGGATCCTTACATGATACACCTGAACATTGCAACTTGTAAATGGTGGTTTCCAATTTTATTCTGGTGTGGACAAAAACATGTTTCAAATTGTTGCAAAATGTATCTTTTAAGGAGCCCGGCTGAGGATGAAAAGAAGCCGCGAGTCGCGGAGCTGCGGAGTCGCGGTTGGCGAAACGCGATCCGCGAGGTCCGGCTTTCCGGCGGAGTTCGGAGAAAAACTCCGCATGAATCAACCTGCACAATTCATATACTCATGAGTGATCAAATACGTGTTTTTCCTTGTTTTCTCAAACATATCATGTCGACCTTCTACCGAAAAAGAAGATATTTACCATGCATGGAACATCAGGTTTTTCATGATTGCATCTCACCCAGGGAGTCCAAAGGCCTGAGTTACGGAGGCCATTTAAACACGGAGGTTTTTTACGGCCTTTTTACAGGGTGTTTACGACCTTTTTACGGGGTGTTTTCGGCCGTTGACAAAACACCTAAGTTACTCAGGCTGAGGAAGCTCTGGGTCAGTTGTTCACTGGCCCTGGAAAAAAGGGAACCCTTTTGGGGGAAGACCATTTTTAGTGGGGCAGTCACAAAAAAAAGGAAAACATGGTGCCACTGAACAACTGAGGCATGATTCATACCGTGGATGGACGAAAACTATTTTGCACCACTTAGAAACCATGGTTGAAACCATTGTTTTGTGGGTATTTTTACAGGGGAAGCTTTTGGAGTTCGGCTGACAGTTGTAACGGTAACCTGGGTTACCCGCCAAACCAGGTCTTTGCCCTGTTCAGCTACGTTCACCGTTGCCCACATAGACCCAACTATTGTTTGGGACAAATCAAAAGGTATATAATTCTAAACCTCCGTTTTCGCGTTCGTCCCCTGCAAGAAAACAACCAACAACACATACCTGGAGTCTCCATGACTCTTTAAAATGGGCCTATGACCCTATTATTTTGGGTAATGACCAACCATTTTTAAAGGGTCAGGGCGACTCCAGGTATTCCCAAACTCAACAGGGAAGTGGTGAGTCCAGCCCAAATCTCGAAGAATACCCACACACATTTTTTTGGTATGATGTCGACCCTCTACTAAGAAAGGAGGTATTTTGCCGTGGAAAACCAGGTTTTTTTCAAAAAAATGCCCTGAAAAAAGCGGGTATTTGGCGTAGGGGGTAAGCTGAACAACAAGTGACTCAAGTCCGAAACTGAACTTTTAAAACCAAACAAATCTGCCGACCCCATGTAATTATGTGTATATATATATATAATATGTGTCCCTTGGGGCGGGAAAATACGTCGGCTGGATGTCTGGGTGTCTGGATGTCTGGATGTCTGGATGTCTGAATTTCTGGATGTCTGGATCTCTCGATCTTCCTCCCCCTCCCCCGTCCCCGTACGTGCGTGTGTGCCTGTGTGCGTGTGTTTGTGTTTGTGTTTGTGTTTGTGTTTGTGTTTGTGTTAGTGTATGAGTGGTGCGCGTGTCTGTGCGTCTGTGTCCGCTGCGCATGCGCATGCGTCGGTGTATGTGCACGCGTGCGTTGGTCTGTTCGTGTGTGTGTGTGGGTGGGTGGGGGTGTGTGTGTGTAGGCGCATGTGCAGTCAGTCGGGCCGAAATTCTGAGCCCTATGGGGGCGGCGGCCTCGCCGTGCAATTTCGCCCAAAGGGGCGCATGCCTAGGCTTTGCCTTCCAAGAGACGGTCGCTGCCGCCGACCCCTCGCATCGTCTGCATTCCCAGCGCCTTTGGTGCATCATCACCACCCGCGCGGTCACCGGAGCTCGAGTTGAGGCAAGGCTAAAAAACTGCAAATATGCAGCAACCTGGCTGCATTGCCAGCGTCGCCAACGCTTTCGGAAGCCCCTGTGTTTCGCGCATCGCCTGCATGCCCTGCATCGCCCGCAATTGTGGCCATTCTTCCGTGTGTGCATGCGTGCGTGCGCGCGCACGTGCGCGCGCGGGGGAGGGGGGGGGGCGCGGCGGGGGGGGGGCGGCGCGCGGGCATGCGGGTGCGGGTGCGCGCGCGCGCGCGCGCGGTGGGTGGGGGTGGATTGGGTGGGCGGGTGGGTGTGGGTGGGTGTGGATGGGTGTATGTGCGTTGGCGGGTAGGTGGCTGTGTGGTGGGTGTGTGTGTGTGTGCGTGTGCGCCATCCCATCCATTCCTCCATTTCATGTGTCATTGCATCCCATGGACCCACCCACCCATCCACCCATCCACCCGCCCACCGCATCCCTTCCATCCATCCATCCTTCCATCCATCCCTCCCTCCCTCCCTCCCTCCCTCCCTCTTATCCACCATCCATCGCGTCCATCCATCCAGCCCGCGCGGCGGACATGCGAGGCCGGCGCGCGGAGCACGAAAATAAAACATACCCCTGGCACCCAATACCCTTTTTCTGTTGGGGTATCATGTCAACCCTCTGCTAAAAAAGGGATCGATATTTACAAACGAAAAACCCAGCTTTGCCACCAAATACCAACAAAACAAGGCCTTTGGTATTTGGAGGTTGCGGGGGTACTTCTTTTGAGAACCCCCTACTCTAAATACCAACTTTTTCTAGGGAATATTTGGGGAAAACCGATCGGGTTTCCATTGAAAATACCGATCCTTTTTTAGTAGAGGCCGGATGGATGGCTGGATGGATGAATGGACAAGATAGATAGCATACGTGCCCACACCCGCCCAGAAGACATCCTTAACAAAGCGTTGGTTTTTGGCAGCCCCCTACTGAAAATGAACAGAACCAAAAAGACACAACTAATCAACCAAACTTGCCAAGAATGGTAGGGTATGTAACCTCCCCTCCAAACAACCCCCGAGCTCTCGTCCCCGGCGCCACCACGTCGTAGGCCTCTTTGCACCTTTCAGGGTCTTGTTTTAGCAGCAACTCATCCTGGTTCGATAGGCAACCCGGATCGAAGTGAACCCTCCAACCGGTGGCGTCTCTTCCGCGGGGCATTGCTAAGTCGCTGCGTCAAAGCCAAAGACTCGCTTTTGTGCATCGGAAAACAAGTCCCAAACTTGTGCACCACTAAAATGATGACCCAAGAATGAAGTCCAAACACCTAAAAAGTCCGAAAAAGTCCAAACACCTAAAAAGTTCGCAAAAAAGTCCAAACACCTAAAAAGTCCGAAAAAGTCCAAACACCTAAAAAGTTCGAAACAAAGTCCAAACACCTAAAAAGTTCGAAACAAAGTCCAAACACCTAAAAAGTTCGAAAACAAGTCCAAACACCTAAAAAGTCCAAACACCTAAAAAGTTTGAAAAAGTCCAAACACCTAAAAAGTTCGAAAATGTCCAAACACCAAGTCCAAGTATGAAGTCCAACACCTCGAAAGTGAGCCGTCGGGCTCACGCGCCTTTCCTCGCCCCCGGCGCTTTGGGCGCTCTGCGCATCCCGCTTGTCCGGGTGCAAGACCCGCAGCAGCTCTCGCTTCTTCCGGTCCACGTCCGAGTCCCCAAAGCCTCGGGTGCCATTCTTTCACCAAGCCTTGTGGGTAGGGGACATCCCCAAAATTGGTCTCTTTCAGGAATCCAAAAGTTGTTGGAAGGCATATGGAGAACATGCCGCACTCTCTTTTTTTTGGGGGGGGTCTGCTTTCTGATACAGGGACAAAAAACAAGGCGGGAAAGAAGAGTGGGAACCCACCGGAGGTCTGGGTTAAGTCAGCTTCACTCTAGTGGTTTGGTGGCTGCGTGGTTTCCCCCTTTGCCCACTACAAAATCACCCATTTGGGGTATTCTGGAGAAGCCGTCGAGAAAGACAGAATCTTTAGGGGATAACTTCCTCGATTGCTTTTTCCAGGCCCGAAAGTCGAAAAACGCACATTCTTGTTGGCTGTTTTTGTTCGCAAGGGTTTGTGGGTTGTTTGGTTGCTGTTGTTGCATTTGAAGAGGAACCGGACCATCGCCACAAAAATAAAGTAATTAAAAAGATAGAGATGCCCCAACCTACACCTAAACCAGGGATTCGTTTCGCGGGCGCTTTTTTTTTCCTCCGCAAAGATGTAAGGTACCAGCTGCCGAACCCAACCAACCCCCAAGCCCTGCCAACCACTGCAACAAAAACGTATGTTACCAACGGCGCAACTTGGACGCTCAACCCGCGCAGGTTGCCCCGGTTGCCCGCCCGATCCTCGAAGGACTTGGAGGTAGCTGACATCCCAGGGGTTGCCCCAAAACGCTGAGCCTTGTTGGCACATGCTGGGGTCCATCGCCGGAAGCAAAAGCAACTTGGGCCTGCCTCAGACTCACAGGCCCCTTTCGTTTTACCCACGTCACCCCGCGACTCTGAGGGGTCAAACATAAGGTAACCCAAAATGGGTTGCTCTGGTAAATGGAAAAAAAAGATCTAAAACCTGCGGTCCCCTGGTGGTTTAATTTCACCCACACCCAGGTGGCCCCAGGAACAGTCAAATGGCAGACGGCCGGTCTCTCTTTAGCTCTCTGTCTGTCTCTCTTATCTGCTTGCTGGCAGGTTGCCGCTGTGCAGCAGCAAGACCTCGGACCATCCGTGATTGTACCTGGGTTGCTCCCTCCGCGCCCGAACGAGCAATGGTTGATCAGCCTTTGGCTTGGCTTAATGGACAAGCCGTGTGCAAACCAAAAACCAAGTTCAGCTTCCCTCTCATAGGTGGTTTGCAGGTCAAGCGGGGCTTCCCATTTTCTTCTCCAGAACCAGGCTGAACCAGGCGTTCACATCCAATCCGCCAGCCCAGCCCCAGCCAAGGACTACCAAACCAAAAACAAAACAAAAAAGAGAGAGACAAATCTAGGAAAAAGAAAGAGCAAAAAACAGAAGCAAGAAATAGGGCTTCCAAAGGCACAGGGTGAACTTCACCGTCAGAACTCGCGCCACCGTGTCCGCCAAGATCTGGCTGCGCGGAACCGGATCCTCGCGCTTCAGGGGACTTCGGCTGGAGCTCACCTCAATGGGCAAAACTGGGAGGCAACCAGACTCCGGTTGCTCCCATTTCAGCTGGACACCCGAGAACACGTTGAAACAAGTCTTGAAACAGGTCTAACAATTCTTGTATGACATGGTGTTTTTCTTCTTCTTTTCTGTGTTGTCTTTTCTTTCTTTTCTTCGGCGTGGGTTGCCACCACTTAAACTACCCTTCCCACGTTGTCCCTTTGCACCTGTGGGAAGGCACCTGGAAGATCAGTTTCCTCTTTGACAGGTGCCATGGTGCGAGAGACGACATTTTGCAACTCACTTCCTGAGATGGCCCCAAACAAGCCTGAACTCCTCCTTTACCAAAATGGCCTTCCCAAAAAGCTTAAAGTCCATGAACTCATGAAGTGAGGCGCTCATGTGGGCAACGCCCCGACCCTCGCCTCCTTGCGCGGTGACGCGCTACGAGCGCTCGTGCTCGGAAACACCTTCGGGCCCAAATCCGGATCGCTCGGATCGGCCCTCGGCTTCGCAGCTCCGGCGGAAGTGGCCCCGGAGCTAGGCGCGGCCGCCTCACGGGGCCAACCCCTTCTTACTTGTTGAAACCATTTTTCCCCTTGTTTCACACGAAAACACCACCAAGACATCCACCCTGATCCGTTGCATGCTTGCTTTCATTGTTTAAACACTGTTCTTTCGGCCTTCCTTTAAAAGGCTTCAAAGGGAACCATATAGTTGTCTGACCCGCCTCTTTGAAACTTGGCGCCGCCTTCGGTGGCCCCGAACTGGTCGGAGCCTCGGGGTCGACTGCTCGCTTGCCACGAAAATGGTCTTCTCAAAGTGGCCTAAACTCAGGCGAGACATAACTTGGGATCCCAACGCGATTTAATAGGACATGCTCACCCCCCTGAGAACCATCTAGAATGGCAAGCAGGGGGCTGTAGAACTTGAGGACGCTCACTCATTCTGAATGCAAGTTGGGCGTGTCCTCTAAGTACAACATACCAACTTGTAACAGCCCAAAACCAAGAGATAAACAACTGTACCAACTTTGCAACTACAACCGCCATGCGTTGTCTGCTTTCAACAAAATTGGACACGCACCTCTCCCATCCGCTCTGCCATATCCACAGCGGCGCCTTGGCTTCCTTCGCCTTCGCTTCCGGCCAGGGTGCCACTTTGGCACGGCTGGAGGTGGCCTGGAGCTTGGCGTGGCAAAGATGGCCACAGCCAGTGAGTGCAGCGGCCGCTGCCAGGCATGGGTTTTGGAAGTGTGGGGGGTAACATATCCTGGCTATGGAGCAACATGGATTTGGGCGGTACGGAGGTGAGAATGTTTACCAGGTTGTCTAATGGGTACATTGGTGTTGAAGGTATGGAGGCTGTAATATTTACCTGGTTGTCTATCTGATAGGTACATGGGTTTGGAGGTATGGAGGCTATAAAAAAAAGGGTGCATGGGTACACGGGTTGTGGAGGATATCACATATAACCTTGCTATACAACGGGCACATGGGTTTGGAAGGTACAATGGCTTTAATAATGGGTGCCTGGGTTTTGGAGGTATGGAGCTTAAAATCTACACCTGGTTGTCTAACGGGTACACGGGCTTTGGAGGTAGGCTATGATGGGTACACAGGCTTTGGAGGTGTAGAGGTTACAACATATACCTTGATACTACCGGGCACATGGGTTGGGAGGGTACACGGGTTTTGGAAGTATGGAGGTTTGAAAAATCACCTGGTGTACAATGGGTGCACGGGTTTTGGAGGTGTGGAGGTCACAACATACTATACCTTGTTATCTAATGGGTACTTGGGTTTCGGAGGTATATAAGGAGGCTTAAAAATGGGTACATGGATTTTGGAGGTATGGAGGTTAAACTCTACACCTGGTTGTCTAATGGGTACACGGGTTTTGGAGTGTATTCCTGGTTTTCTAATCGGATACGCGCGTTGTGTTTTTTTGGAGGTATGGGAGATATAACATACATATACCTGGTTATCTACTGTGTGGCTGGGTTTTTTGGAGGTACCGAGGTTATAATAAATACCCGGGTATCCAATGGGTACATGGGCTTTGGAGGTAGCTACCATCGCTACCAGGTCACCTATGGGCTAGCTTGCACACTGGAACAAGTACCTTGCACCCTGGGTTCTATTCCTTTAAGTTGTGGTTGGAGCCCAAAGGACACGTTCAGAACCAGTCTAAACCTCAGATGCCCAGTGGCCATGGGAACAAAGGGCATGCTCTTTTTTTTTTTGGGGGGGGTTAACGTAAAAGGGGAACCCTTCCCAAAACAAAAGGGAAAACGGGGACCACTGGGCAACTTGGAAAAGACCTTTTTACAGGCCCCTGCGCGGCACATCTCCTCCCGATTGGCGCGTAAGCCCTGGCCTGGCCCAGCACTGTAGCCCCGCGCAGGAATTCCGGCACTGGGGGCGGCATGGCAGACGCCTTGGGCCCCACGTAAAACTCTGTGAGTGACATGGCTACCATGTCTTTACAGAGCGCCTGGTTGCTCCTAAGCTCCCTCTTTAACGGCAAATTCGGATACGCCTGGCTCATTGGCTCCTTGGCTCCCTTCAAAACCACTAGCTAGATGGGATTGTCTCTGGATGTGGGGCCTCCAAAGTGGTTCAACGCTCTAAGAGTAAAAGTACATACCCCAAAAGTACATACCCCAAAATAATGGAAACACCTTCTCGGGGTAGGGATGTGTGCTTGCCACTTTCACTGTTAGCCTATGCCAGGCGCTATTCGTGATGGTTTGTGTTCAGCCCCGGGATGGCAAAAGCAGTGTGGGCAGAACAACGCCCAGGTGATGCCCCAGATTTCGTATCTTGAGACCGGTGCTGAGGAACCCTGGACAAAAGCCCACCGGGGCCGCAGAGTACATACCCCAAATTTCTTCAATTTCTCCCGGGCCGGGAAAACACAGCATACCGTGGGGAAAAAAGTACATACCCCAAAATAGTTGGTTATGGGTGCGTCCTTTGTTCTGGGGCTCCTTTTTGGGGTATGCGGGGGGGTTGTGGGTCTTGGGGTAGCTTTTTGGTCATTGGGGTGGGGTTGGCGGGGAATTCGGGGGAGGGATGCCGGGTGATTTCGGGAGAGTTTTGGGGGCCAGGGGCTTCGGGGGGTGGAAAAGGGAAATCCGGTGCCAAGAAACGCAGGTGCAAGTGAAAATGGGGCACGCTGCCTTTGCAACATTGTATAACCCCTATATAACCACTCTATAGTCAACTTGTTTTGGGTATGTGATTTCGGGGTATGTAGAAAAACCCTTAGAGACGCTGGTTGCCGTTTAAACGTAAGCCCGAATTATGCATCTCAAAAAAGGAGACACCCACAATCATCTTCTTGACTGTAGCCGTTGCTCACCTCTATCATTCTTGGCGTACCTTGCCACATCGCGCTGGTGTTTTCACCTCAAAGCATCACTTTGGAAGCCTAATGATTGATGCAACTGTGAAGTGCACCTGGGCTTTAGCATCCCAGATTTGCGCGGCCCATGTTGCAACAGCCCCAGTTTCAAGCGCAGCAGCTCTGAACCGGGCTGCTGGCTCCGCCCCGGACTGCGTCACCCCAGGTCACAACTGCCGAAAGCACGAAGCCGCTTGGAGGTGCTGAACGTTCTTCTGCTGCTCATGCACTGTCACCTGGCTGCTGTCTTGCACCTGGCTGCTGTCTTGCACCTGGCAGCTGTCCATCAGTTGCTTGGATGCACTGGGCGTTGCTCAGCCAGCTGCTCTTGCCTCTGGCCAGTGTCTCCGAATCTGGAACTTGGCCATACCAAGCGAACGCCCTTTCAGTGGCAGCCACTTTGCCAAGGTGTACCACTACAGCCACGCCACCATGTCCCCACCTCGCAACCCGACCTCGCTCAGTCGCTCGGCGTGCCGGCCTTGAGTTAGCAATGAACTTCAAGCGGCGCTGGAAATACTGCTGCGCTGCAGCCTTGAGCTCGCTGGTGAGGGTCGATGGTGAGACTTCAAACCATCTCCACTTGGACAAGGAAATTCTGACCATGTCCGAGGATTCCGACACAAGGTCCTTCATGAGCCTTGAGACGTTCCCCTGTGAGGACCCTCCTGGCTATATTCAGCTAAAGCCTGAGAATTCGTTTTCAAACCGACCGGTGAGTCAAACATAACTAAGCCCCCTACGTTCCCAATTTGATTTCCTCTGGGTGCTAAATACCATCCCCGATTGGTTTCCTTCCGAGAAAATCTACAAACATGTGCTGTTTAGCCCCTAGTCTATCTGATTCTTACAGCGGAAACATAGGGGCGCCTTCCTTTTGAAAGAAGTTCTGGTGGGGACACGGAACGGGTCCTGGCCACCCTGGTTTTAGGCGGCTTTTGGTTGTAATGGTACGGGTTCGCGCAGCCCTCCTCGAAATGGGATCCTGAAGATTGAAAAAACCTTGGAACCCTCACAGAACATCTCTTGGCTACGAATATCAAAAGGGGAACGAAGGGGAACCGCCTCAAAATATGTTTTGGGTGGACACGAAACCTAAACGCTGCAAGCCAAATGCCAGCTGCAAAGGAGTTTCATGTTAACTCACTTCCTGAGTGGACAGGCCAAACAAACGTCCGAACTTTTTACTTTACCACCAAAATTGTCTTTCCATTTTGTTGTTTTAAGTCCAGGAACTCGTGAAGTGAGTAAGAAACCGTTTTTTTGGTGGGGGGGGGTCCATGCTGAATTAACGGGGAGTTCTTGGAGAAGAAAGCCAACAGAATGCCCCTTTGGAGGGAGAAAACAAAAACAGACACACCCCAGTCGTGCTCTATGGCACTGTCAAAAGAGTAATCGTCCCTTTTTGGAACCTCCCTTTTTGGGGGGCGGTTTGACAAGGGGCCAACGGGAAACAGCGTGATTCTATGTGATTTATTCTGTTGTTTGTCCTTGTCTTGTTTTTTTCTGTTTTGTGGGGGGGGGGGGGCTGTGGGGTTTCAAAATCATAGATTTAAGCTAATTTCGAGGTCCGGCCCGTGCACTTAAGCCCTGCTCCTGTGTCTGCACCTCTGATCGGAGCACATGTCAGAACCGGGACACGATTGAATGTGTGTTTTTGTTTTTTGGGCACTCGTGAAAACAATGCAAAAACCGGCTGCGCTATAGAAAGTGCATTTGGCAGCAACAATGGATGCAAACGCCTTCGTCAAAGCAATTCACTACTGGAAGGGCAGCCTGTCAAATCCTGTGGGGTCACTGTGTTGCGTTTTTGTTTTTTGTTTTTTTCTTAAAGAAATGCTGAATTACCCGGGGGGGCAAACTCGCTGAGTCAAGAAATCCTTAAACAATATGGAGTTAAGGGGGCCCGTGTACTTAAGAGTCGGCCCGTTTTCTGAATCCACGGAACTTTGCTTATTTTCAGAATTGCAAGATTCGGTGGCTCTTTGTGTGACAAGAGCAATTTTTGTTGAAACATTGAGCAACCTTAGCATGGTGGGCCCGAAGCGTGTCGCAATCAAAAACGTCGCATGTCAGAAGTGCACAATGTTGTTGTTTTTTCGCCGTGGTGGCACATATTGCCAAATGGGGAGCGATGGCAAGGATTAGTGGGAATGCATGGATAGTTTGTAGCTTAGAGTGAAGGCCATGAGAATGGGGCTCAGTTCAGCGCTAAGCATATGGAGATGGTCCTGTAGTCAGGGCCAGCTAAGAATGTTAGTGCAGCCAAAATTTGTTGAGTGCAAACGAATTTCCTTTAGCACGTGCAGCAAAATTGTTGTGGTGCAGCCGGAAATTCCTCATGTGCAGCCAAAGTTCCTTAAGTGCACCCCCCCCCCGGGCAGCAAAAATTCCTTAAGTGCAGCCACAGTTCCTTAAGTGCAGCCAACATTTCCTGGAAATGTTCGGTGCAGCCAAAGTTCCTCAAGTGCAGCCAAAATTCCTTAGGTGCAGCCAAAATTCCTTAAGTGCAGCCAAAATTCCCTAAGTCCCGGAAAAAATCCTTAAGTCCGGAAAAATCCTTCATTCCCGCCAACGGAAAATTGTCCGGAAAAAAAAAAACATAATTCCGGATAAATTAGCTTAAATTCAGGGGGGGGGGGGTGAACTTAAGGATTTTGGCCTTTGCCCGAGATGAAGTTCGGGGTGAAATTAGTGTTTTTCAAGCTACAAAACGATATTGTGGCAATGAAAAACACTAATTTCACCTCGAACTTCATCTCGGGCAAAGGCCGAAATCCTTAAGTTCACCCCCCCTGAATTTTAGCTAATTTATCCGGAATTAATGATTTTTCTGGAATTAAGGATTTTTCCGGACTTAAGCAATTTTGGCGGGAATGAATTAAGGATTTTTCCGGAATTAATGATTTTTCCGGACTGAAGGATATTTTCCGGGACTTAGGGAATTTTGGCTGCACCGAAGGAATTTTGGCTGCACTTAAATGTTGGCTTTTATTGGGGAATTTTGGCTGCACTTAAGCAATTTTTGCTGCCGGTTAATTAGCTTAAATTTGGGTGGTGCGCTTAAGGAATTTGATCCGCCCTTTAGCCGCACTGAAGGCATGTTGGTTGAGCCGTGCGCTAAACTTTTGCTGGCTGTGCCGAAGTAAAAGTCACTTGCGCTGCGGCGTATGTTGAATCTCAAGCCGGCAGAGCAAAAGTTGTGAGAACGCTGGTCTCGCAGTAAAGGCAAGCCGGGTAATTGCTTGCGTGACAGTAGCAATTTGCACCGTCTCTTGATACATGGGATCAGTTGTTGATGTTCCCATTCACCTCAGTTCCACCTTACGCCACTTTGTTTGCTGTATGGGCCTGCCTTCTTTGACCTTGAAACACGTGAGTACATGTTTATTTGATATTGGGCCTTATGGGTGTTTCTGTGGGGGTTCTGACGAAGGCTGGCGCTGAAACAGGGGTTCAAACCCTGCTTCAATCGGGCTAAACGCGCCAGAAACGTCCTTAAGTGCAGCGGGCGACCCTCAAATGGTCTGGCCTGAATGCCACTGACAGTGTATACTGATTTTGCTCTGGTTTGCAAGATGTGTGATTTGAGTGAGGAAATGCACCAAAAAAAACATTCGCCGGGTGTGAGTCTCAAACGCTCCAACAAGGCAATGACATCAAGTCCGTAGTTTGCATTGTTCCAAAAATAAATAGCCTTTTCGGGCTGTTCAGCTTCGAAAACACACAAGTTTGAAAACCATTCGGTTTCAGCAACACTGAAAAACGCCCCACCCTTAAGTACTTAAGTACACGGCCCCCCCCCTTAAATCCAGAATTTTGAAAGCCAACAGGGGGGGCCCCGCCTTTTTTGAACGGTACCCACATCAGATTTGTGACAACTCCGCATCGTGGTAGACAAACGGGCCTCTGTGTAGGTTGATTCCATGCTGAGGGGGAGGGGGGGACCTACTGACTTGACGAAAAGCAGAATGGAGGGAAAGGCTGCTGAACAAGCGGGCACTTATCATCATCGACCCACTCGGGAGGCAAGGAAAAAAGGCAACCCTTCGTTCAGTGCTACGTTAAAATGTGCAAATTATTTTAGTATCACATACCTTTGCGTTTGACATGCAAACGTAAAATCAATGAACAAACAACAAACTATGACAAACACCAAACACACAAGCAAATGCGAAAACAGAAAATGGATGAGGAAACTCAAAAGCAACGAACTCAAAAAGCAACATGTCAGCCCCCTCAATAACAACTGGGGGGTTGACCTATCAGGGGTCAACATTACAGATTTGGCACCTCTAAATCTGGTAGAGGTGACCTTTTCACTGGCCATGATCCTTTGAGTCGGACTCTGCCTCCCACAGCACCACAACCAACCGAACAGCCCCAACAGAGCGAGGCACCCCCGGAATGGCGTCCAGCTCCGATGAATCCAGACACCGCCAGGCCTGCAATATGGCTCATGGCTCGCAACACCCGTTTCACCCACGACTTTTTGGCAGTAGTGAAAAGGTCAATAGGCCTGATCTTTTTCAAACCAGGGACCCCGCTAAAAAAGTTTTAGTAGTAAAAAGGTTTAGGCTTACATGGGTGGCTCGTGTTTTGAATGAGGCTTAGGACCCTTTTGGGGTGGTTTGAAAAAGAACAAAGGGACCGCCAAAGTTCATTTTGGGGGTTCCGCTAGTTTGAAGCATGTGCGTTAGGTATATAGGGGACCCTGTGAACATCAAAGGAGGGTGGTGGCGGGCAAGGAAGGTGGGGGTCATGTTTACCAAACACTTGGAGGTGGTTGCCTCTTGAATTTCGTTGCCAAATGGCTTCTCAATCTCGGTGTTTCTTGAGGCCTCAGTCTATGGCCTTAGCGATTTTTCAAGGCCTTACACGGTTTATCAGGGCTCTTGCTTTTCTTTGTGTCTCCCGGTCCGTGCGGTGAGGGTTGCGAAGCCACCGAACTGAGGGCCGGTGTGGTGTCAACAACTGCTCCGCTGCGAGGGGCTGAAACCGGGAATCAGACTCGAGGGGGTTCTTTACAACCAAGGGGCTTCGGATAGATGTCAACTTTGGGTGGATTTGAAGATCCCGCCCAACTTAAGGAGGCGGGTCCGGGGTTTTTCAACTCCATCTCTCTAGTCTTCCTCATAAAAGGGAAAATGAAATATGAATGGAATTCCAGGGGTCACCCCTCCCCGAACTCTATTTTTAAGGGCTTCGATAGTGATACTTTGGACCCCCACTACACGCCGGAAAGCAGCCCTTGTCTGTGACAATTTGCGGGACGTCCTTCGCCGTGACTTGATCAATTCAACGGGGATTCTGCTTATCCACAGAAGCTGGGGACCTAAAACCACCCCTCCGACAACCATGCATGTGTCTGGTCAGTTCTAGTTGTAATATCACCTGCTTCTTTGGCCCGGCCTGGCCCCTTCAATGGCGATGCCGCTGCCCATGCCAGGTCAGGTCCCAGTGGGAAGTTTAAACAACCCGGTGGCGTTTTACATGTTCAAAGGCCTTGAACCCCCCAACCCCGACCCAAATCTCTGCGCTGCCCCTTCAAACGATTTCGTCTCAACAGCAAGAGTGGGCCATGTGAAAGAACAAGAAGGCCATCTTTGAGCTGGCGCTTGGTTTCAAGAGCACATTTTCCAATACGACGGAAAAAAGGAAGCAACCGCGTGGGGGCCAACCCTTGATCCAGTCTGCAAACCCTACAATTCCAACTTAAGTTGGGACTGCAAGCCTACATCATGGGTTTAAGCTCAGCTTACCCCGGCGAGCCAGGGCAATGTAACAGGCAAACCCAAGTCAGCAACTTTCAGGCAATAGCTGTTGCTGCCTTTTGGGCTTGACCCGTCCACCCCTAAACCGCCGGGGGCAACACGTTACACTGAGGGCATCGGCAAAGCACAACTGGCTGGTGCATGGAACCCTCAACCTGCCGCTGGTTTCCGATCCGTTTTGTTGCCAAGATCAACTACCATGTGCTTCCAACTCCGAACTTGCTCCTTCTGCTTTAGCTGCTGCTAAGTGGTTGACACCTTCAGCTCCACCTCGGAGCCCAGGACAACCGCGTACCTAGGAACCCCCCAACCACCAAGAAACCCCAACCATCCAGGAACCCCAACCCGCCCCCCCCCCCCCCCGCCATGTTGGCCACCGTCAGCTCCGCCACCAAGCTCGTGGCTTTGGGCATGGCGTCGAGGCGTCGACCCCGCGCGCGAAATGCCGACCGATCTGCTGCAAGTAGAGGGTCTGCTCCAGGGGCCCCAAAGCACTTGTTTGCTTTTTTTCTCCCTGGTTTTCTCCTCTGTTTAAACAAACGTATCTTAATCTCTTTTGGGAGGGGGAGCAAACTTGGACAACATCCGCTCTTTGCAAAGGTGATGTGTTCTTCCTTGAAAGGAAACATAGGGAACCCTGCGAGGAAACTCATAGGTTGGATGGCTTTTCACTCAAACCACAGCTTGGGTTCAGTGATGTGGTTTTTGGCTAAGAAGTCTTGAACCAAAAAAACAAAGGCACCAAGCTTGGCGATCTTCAACAACTTGCTGGTTCTCAGCAGGGAATGGCGCATGGCAATGAACCGGAACCACAGAAAATGGTTACTTAAATGGGGGCATTCTCTCATTCCTGCTGAGGACCAGCAAGACAACTCTTGTCCAACCGAGTCAATATTGGGGGTCGTCAAATGGGCCTGACTTTTCTGGGTGTGGAAGTACGTTTCATGAATTATCTGGAGTGAAGCGGTTCACCTGCAAAATCGGGGATCCCCTATCAAAACCACTCATCGTGGGTCAAGTCGCTGGCAACCCCAACTCCCCCTTTCTGTAGAGATCGAACAATTCGACCAGATCAGGGCATCTCTTAACGTCGTCTCCCAGCTTGAGCCCCATACCGACCCCAAACGGAAACCTGGACATGGCAATGGAAGTCTTCCGAAACCATCCTGGCGATTGGAAAGAGAGAAATCCGGGCACCCGAGTTCTCCCATCTTTTCGACAAAGAATGGGCCCCAACGACCCACGGAAGGGTTGCAACCCCTTGCAACAAATCCTCAAACTATATAAGCAAGCCGCTTGCCCTAGGACCCTCGATTCCGCCCATAAAAAAAATCCGTTGGAGAGCTTCAGAGGGGCCGAAACACTGGGCCTGGCGCGTTGTTTTTTTAACCAAAGGGGAAAAACCGCCATGGCCATTCCACAAAGTGATGCTTGAGACGCGAAGGGGAAACATCGTGAAGCTGTCAAGTTAACTCCGTCACCGCAAAGGCCCTGATACGCGCACACAGGTCATGCCTCCCGGCCTGGCTATCCCAGCATCCCACTCATAAAAGTGCCCGCCAAACACACCGGAGGAGATGTGTCCACGCCAGTCTTCCCAAAGGGATGTGTTGGGGGGAGAGTTCGGGGGTTCAAAGGGGTTGTGACTGATTTTCAAAACCTTGTGGGCATGGCTCCCGAGTTTGTCTAACCCTTTCAGCGCTGCCAGCGGATCTGGAAATTGCCTGTGCTGCCAATGGAAGGCCATGACTGAGTCTCCGTTTCAGAGAGCGGCTTCCTGGTACAGAAGTGGGAACCAACCCCTCACCCTGGTTGGGGAACACGCTTCTGGTCAAATTTTATGGGTCCTGATTGGTATCCCTGTTCGAAGGCAAGGGGGTCCACTGACTTTGCGAAAAAACATTGCATATGTGTTTGGATGTGGAGGCATTCAGGCTGAACAATACCACCAATGTAAGTTCGTAAGGTCGCATTTTCCATCGCTACCCCGCGCGGATCCCTGTTCGACACCTGCAAGAGCAATGTTGGTGGAAAAGGAAGCCTGCACACCTCCATGTTTGGTGGAACTGTATCCGCTCGTCATACCAACTTGGTATTTAAATCGGTGGTGTGCCCCTTTCTTTTTCGGCCCCCAAATAGTTGTATTCCGCTTGGTGTCCTTTTTAACACCACAAAAATGGTGGTTTGAAAAAAGACAGCCCCAAATGGACCCCAACCCGCAAATACCCGCACCATCCCTCGCACCTACTCTTCACCATTTCGATTCGGTTTTGAGACTGTCACCCTGAAGATTCCAAACCATCCCCTGCCATTTTCTTTTCAGCTTGGGTGTATATATTACAAAACAAGCGCTCTCTTCTTCTCAGCCTCTCCCCTCTTCAAGGGTGAAGCGATGGACCAGGCAGGGCCAGCTATCTTAGAGCCATGCCCTGAAAAAGCCATCACGGCACTGCATTCGAGAGTCTTCCTTACTCCAGCCGCCACAGGAAACATCTGGCCAAATTCGCTCATCGGACAAAAAACAGCAGACATGATCATGTTATGCCTTGGGTTCCGCCACAAACAGGCTTGCGCTTACACCACTAAACGCCCAAGAATAGCTTTGCAGCTCTACAACGGTGAGACGAACATCTCAAAGCTCGCTCCGCACCCTCGGAATCGCCTTGGCCAGGATGATGCCTGTGTCCTGAGCGAAAAAACAAATGTCAAACGGGTTTGGACGCTTTCCTGTCCGAGGAGAAAACACGGTGTCCCCCCTGCCTCCACCCAAAAAAAGCAACAACACATGAGAGAAAAAAGAGATCTAGCTTCCCAAACGGTTGTTTTGGCTCGGGTTGCTCGGTTTTGCGGCTGAACCCTGAACGCACAACTCCAGGCTGCAATCCGATGGCCCCCCTGAAGAAACCATAAACGAATCGGGGGAGGGAGGCGCAACTCCCTTGTTAACCCTTTAATAAAGCCTTATTACGGGCTTATCCTCTGCTTGTCCCCCACCCCCCCATAGCACCCCCTAGGGGTCCATGCTAAAAAGGAAAGAGCTCAACCAAAAGAGGGAGAAGGAAGGGTTTGGGATCTTCGCGCGGGTCGCGAAGGTTGATGTCACCCTGATTGTAGACGTCTGGCATGCCCTCATCACAAGCAGTCATCCCACTTTGTAACTTTCAAGGCTTGCACCCTGCCCTGATGACCAATCTTAAGCAACAATAATCCGTTTGCCATTGGTAGCTTTTCGCATGAGGCGCGAAAGTCAGGTATAGCGGACCTGTTGATCAACCCCCAATTGCACCACTAAGTGCAACAAGAAATCCCTACAAAAACCTGCCTGCGGCGGGTGAGCTAGTCACCCTTGCCAAACTGAACCTATAATATTAGCTTCTCTTTAGTTGCGCCGCCTTTAAAACCAACCCAAAAAAGGATACCCTCAAAAAAAGAAACATATCTGAACCAAAAGTCCAGGTGAGTTTCCTGGATGTCCCGCCCTGCCGACTTCCTTGCGCCGACCGAGGCTTGTGCGTTGGCGTGCAGGTACAGCTTGGACGGCCCATCTGGCAGGTTGGGGCTCCCTTCAAGGGAAAGGGCAACAACGCTTGTTCCCGCCAGTTTGACACATGTGTGTGTGTTTGGTAAAGGGAAACCAAAAGGAAAACCGTTGCGCCATTTTGGGGTGGGGGGTCCGATTCCCCCCCAAAAATGACGAGAAACACATGGGGCACACCTGCTGGCCTTTGTCAGGAACCAGAAGGAGTGCCGCAGCTCAGCTGCTGGTTTGTCAGTATCCAACCGCAGGAAACATGGAGCGGTCTATTAAACCTCCATGCAAGATACTTGCTGGTGCTCGGCAGGGAATGAGAAATGGAATGACCCCGCTAACCATCCAACTGGTGGTTGCCTTTTAGGGAACCTGTGGGTTCATTCCATTTCTCATTCCCTACCTATCGCACCAGCAAGGATATCCAAAAGACACCCAGAAAGGACAGCAAAATGCGGTTGGCCCCGCATAAGCTTAGGGCTGGGATATCTTAGGCCACCTGAGAAGTAGATGGCATCG